AAGAATTTAGAATTAATTTAAAAAAAAATCTATTAAATATGGTTGAGTTCTTGCTAAGTTATTTGGGCTTAAAGTTTCAAAAAAATTTACTTAGAAAATATCTGGTGCGTTTCTATTGACTCACCCCCATATATATATCTTCTATTAATGTCCCTTTTATTCTTTTTTCTTTAATCATTTGTTTTAATTTATTTTATTTAGAGTGATAGTCGAAATGATCTACGTCAAAAGCTTCAAACCTCGTTCATACCATTAGGAGAAAGTTACTTGTTCGAAACACATGAATTAAACTGGGTTCACCGTTTTGCGAATAAGTTGTGGGTTTTTGTATTATTTCATTGAATATTTTATGTTAATGTCTATGTTTTAACATTCACATTTGCTTCTTTTTATCCTTGTATTAGGTTATCTCAGTTTGAAGCTCCCCGTAATCCGCTTCTTGATAGAAATTCTGAGGGTTGGATAAACTGCCACATTTTGGCGCCACTTATTGACGAATGTTTTTTAACCTGTGAAAACATCCAAATTCATCGGTGAATATGAAGTATACTTGGCTTTTTATTTTGGTATTTCATTCTAATTATTATTTCCAATTTCTAGTTGTGAAGAAATGTCTCTAGCTTCAATCATCCGCAAGAATATATCAAGGGAGGAGGCCGATAAGAAACAACCTGGTCATAAAATAGACATTATTTTTCGTGTTGATGACATAGAATATTTTGGTGCAGAAACATTTACTGATGAAGATCTCCATAATTCGAGACCAATCTCTTATAAATATAAATTGTTCAGAGAAATGAAAGATCAATTGGATCGTTTATTAAAAAAATTGAAATTTACAAGAGAAACAGTGAAAAGGGTGAAAAATATTATTCTGCATGGAATATCCCACGGAGGTAATTACGGAACTCATGTTTTTATTTTGTTATTAACTAAAATATATTTTACATTTAAATAAGGATTTAACGGGACAATGTATTCTATGTATTATGATATTGATATCGGATATTATTTTATCTTTGAATCATGTCATTATCGAATTGGAACAACATGGGGAAGCGTTCCTGAAAGCCTTGCAGCCCTAAAGGATGTGCTAGGATTAAAGGTATTTTCTATATATCGCTAAATTGTCAATTGAATATCTAATAATTTTTAATTGTTTTTTCTTGATGATAGAATGATATAATCGTGTACTGAATGTTATCAAAGATATTAAAAAAATTGCCCTACTAACGAATCCATATGATTTATTCATCATTGAAAATCTTCCAGAAACAACCATCTCCCCCAAAACTTTAAAAAAAATAGGTTGATTAATGTTAGATAAGGTGTGATTCATATTTTCAGGATCATATGGCAAAATATTTGTTTTATTTTCGATCATGGTGTCAAAATCAATTAAATTCATTAATTTGTAATAATGGTAGCATCATACATGCATTTAATTGTTATATTACTAGGGATTGGAACCGCCTAAAATTTTTCCTAATCGCTTAACCGTTTAATTTGGCCGGCATTAAAATCATTCCGGCCCATGACCAACATAATTCTGCCCGGAACTATGGAGCAATCTTTAAATGGTTCAACGGTTCCAATCCCTATAGCATTAGAAATTTTAAATATGATTAAATTTTAAAAAAGGTAGCTGTGCAACATAGTTTCGCTCAAACCAGGAACGGATGCACAGTAGGTTATTTTCGAAGTTCGATATTGTAAACAAAAAAAAAACAATTTTTTATTAACGATTATCGTTCACCTTTAATGAACGATCATCATACAATTAATTACGTACATAGTGCAGATAATAATTATCACTAGTTGTATGATTTTTTATAGATCAACTATAGTGTAATAGTAAAAAACATAAAATTCGAACTTATTAACCCTTGAACCAGCAAACCTATATAAATAAATTTACATTTATCGGGTTTATTTTAGTATGGTCTTTAAAGCAACAATGCCTTGTTAAATTTATTTTATTGTTTGGAGCATAGCGGAGAACTCAATTTCGGTGCAAAATTGTCGTTTTTGATGTTTATTTTAATAAAAACGCAACTTTGTATTTTTGTCAGTATTATGTTCGACAAAAAATTTAATTTTGCTTCGTTTTTCAGTATTTAGTATTTGCGAGAGTAATACAAATCAAAAAGGAATCCAATTTTTTTGTAAGTATGTAAAGGTAGAAATTTAGACTAATATACATAAATCTCGTTCCTGACATTTTCATCAGTGCACCAAGGTCGATTCAAAACATGGCCAAAATTCGAAAAGCCAATTAGAAAGCAGGATCAGGTGTAATGTGACAATCAAAACAACAATTTTTTTTTGTAAAGTCACATTTATCAAAAATTCTTTTAAGAAATCACCTTTTGCGTATTAACAAAAAAAAATTCCTTGCAAAATTTTGGTTTAATGGTGCCCATTAACCCAAACCAAAACCCTAACCGAGATGTCACATTTTAAATTGAAGGTGACATACAATCTCTGCCAATAGAAACTCTAGGCGGAAATTATTTGTTTTTTAATATTATTTATTTATAAGTTTATTTTCTTTCTTTTTTTATTATTAAATATTTCTTAATTTTGATGTTCTTACAAACAAGTAAGAAGTTTGAATTTTTTAATCAAATAATTTAATATCATTATACAGTTATTTATTATTTTATTATAGCATTTTTTAAATATTTATAATAAGTTAATTAAAAAAGATATTAGACTAAAAATTATATAATAAATTTATTTTATTTTATTTTTTTATTTATATTGTTAAAAGCAAAATTAGGTTTCAGAATTGTTCTAACTTTGTGACAGTTATGGCTTATATTTTTTGCAACAACAATGTTTCTAAAACAAATAAAGTAATTGTTATTAATTGCATTTTATAGAACTTGGAAACCAAGCTGTTTACTATTTCTTGATATGTTTTTATTTCATTTATTATTTGTAAAATTAATTCTATTTGTTTTTCTCAGTTAATTACTACTTTATATCATTTTTTTTATATATTTTCAAAAAAATTATTCTATATTGTATTTATTTAAATAGTTATAAACTTTTTATCTTTTTTAAAAGTTTGAATAAGATTTTGTAATATTGTTTTGTTCTTTTTTTATATTTGGTATTTTAATACTTTTGAATTTATATTTTGTTTTTTCTTTTATTAAAGTTTTTTATAAAATTATCCCTTAATTTGTAAGCTTTTCTAAACAAATTTGTTTGGAAAATTGTTAAAAATATACTTATAATCTATATTTTTAAAATTTTAAAATATTTAAATAAAATTTTATTTTATAATATTTGAAAATAAGGATTATATTATAACAGTATTTAATTTTATATTATAAAAAAAAATTATATGTTGCTTATAAGCTAAAAATAGACAAATTTAGAAAAAATTTTTAATCAAAAAAATTATTTACAAATTTTTGGCAAACTCTTTAAATATTAATTTTAAGTGTATAGATCTTATTTTTTTTTTTTAGTGTTAAAGTGACCTTTTGAGTCTTTTGACTTTATTTAACAATGATAAATATGGTTTAGTGAACTATTACAGAAAGAGTGTACAATTGGTTATGCATGTAACTTTTCTATATTATTTATTTAAAGAGTCTGTCTAAAGGTTCTCTACTAATTGCTATATCTAACACCTCTGCTTGTATATTTTACTTTGAGCCCTCTGAACCTACAAACCTGTAACTTCACTGGATTATATCTGATGCCCAGATCATTATTTCAATCTTAGGACTATTTTATCCTCTAGATAAATCTCTCCTTTTTGATAATGAACAAATGTCTTATAATCATTATTTTAAAATCTAATAAGAAGTGAGGTGATTTAAACAAATAGATAAATTGATCCTATTCTCTGATACAAAAGACTTTTCTGTAGGATTATACATTATATTATATATATTTGCAACAAATATCAATATGTAAATTAAAATTATAAATAGCAACATCAAAATTATAAAATTTAAAACAGAACTTATATGTTTAAAAAGACATTATTGTGAATAGTTTGTCTTTTTGCTCTAATTATGTTTTTTGAATATTTAATTTAATTTGAAGACAATATATCAAATTTGTTAACAATTATTTTATTATTAACTATTGCATACAGCTAGAAAAAAATAAATTTTCATTAATAAATATCTAGAAAATAGAGAATTTAAAATATTAATAACATATATACATATATATTACTGTTTTATAGCAAAAGGTTATATTATTTATATTAGTAAATGTTTAATTATTTTTTTTCACTATACAATCTGATATAAACTATATGTTTTTTTATTGTTGCTACATATATATGCATATACTTTTGTTGCTTAAAAATTTCTACTTCTACTAGCTATATACAAAGATATATAATAATAATAATGATATAGCAAGACTATAATTTTTGATCTAAATTTCAAAGTATAAATTTAATCAGTACTACATAGTTAGTTGATACTCTATTTGGCTCAAGTTAAAAAAATTTTGAAATTTAGAAAGATAAATCTATACTTGCTCTTTAGTAAAGTTAAAAGCTATTAAGAAAAGAATAAATTTATCTTTACAAATTCAAAGCACTATCACTTAAAAATTTAATTATATTGTTATAATAATATAAAGTACTGGTATAACTATCAAATTTTTTAATTAAAAAAATTTTTTTAGTATTGATCTTTTTCCAAATTTTACTAATCAGTTTTTTAACTTTTATTATAAATTATGAATTAAGTTTGCAGTTTACAAATTCCTAAAAATTTTATAATTTTATTTTCATTTTCTTTCTAAATTCATTCTTTATTAAAAAATTAGTTTATTTTTATTTTTTCTTTAATGTTTATCATAATAAGTTTGGTTTTTTTCATTGAACTGTATATTATTTAGATTAAAAAAATTTTTTACTATTTCTATAATTTTCTTTATTTGCATTTTCTTAATACAACTTATGTTATATCATCTGCATATGCTACTACAGCTAGTCTCTATCTTTTTCTTTTTTGCATTATAAACTCTATACTATTATTGTATAAAGTGCACAATGTATAACTTCACTTTGGAATTTTTCTAATAATAGATTATAGAATATTTTTTATACTAAAGGTGAAATTACTTTATCTTATTTAATATTATCTTTAATTTTAAAGACTGTTATTATTTCTAGATTTGTAATCATTTTTGATTGTTAATTTTCAAACAAATTCAAAATAATGCTAATTATTATTTTTAGTATTTTAAGTCTTTTAAATGTCAAATTTAATACTATTAATAATATTAGATTGAAGGTCTTTTTCATATCTTTTAGTACTAGCCAAAGTTTCTTTTTATTATTTTTTGCATTTTCTATTATTACATTAATAATATGTACTGGCTTTTCTGTTAATCTATTTAACAATTCTGTAAAATTTAGCTTTTTTAATATATTTTTTTTACAAAATGTTTGTGCAAATCTTTTAGTGAATATTTTAGTTATATATTTTCGCAGTTTTTAGCAATGCTATTAGTCTTACATTGCTTAAATCATATTGCCAATCTAAGTCTTTTGATATTAAGTAAATTTGTAATATTTTCTATTTTCTGGATATTGATTCTGTTTTAATACATATTTCTGCCAGCTTTTTGAAGATTTTTTGAGTCTGATTACTAACTGATTTGATTAATGTATAGCTAATTTTTGACATACCTAGGACTGTATTATTTTTAAGTTCTGATAGCATTTCTAGTTATTCTTCTTTAGAAATATTTTGATTTAGTTATTTATATTACTTTTTATTGACTTTTCCTTTTGGCTGATATATTTTATCTCACTTATTTTTAATCTTATAGTTTTTGAAGTTTTGTATTCTAAATTGTTGTTGAAAATGCTTTTTGGTCTTTTCAAGCACCTTCTATAAATCTGTTATCAGCTTTCTATTTAGGTTTTCAAGCTTAACAAGTTTGTTTATTTTTATTTTATTTAATGGTTTGTTCAATAAACTTGTTAACGTTCTTCTTTGCTTAGCATTGATTATTTGACATCTTTTTTTGATATTTTGTTTTATTTTGTTTAGTCTTCATCTTTTTATCTCTTCTGCTCTTTTTTTATAAAGAATCTTTCACCAATCATATATATTAAAAATTATTTCTTCTGTCCATATCTTTAAAATTTTTTCTATACTAGTTTTATGTTGTTTGTTTATATATTCTGCTATAATATTAAAATCTTTTATATTTTTAGAGATTAAACTTAGTTTAATATTCTTCTTTTCTAAGCTGATCTATCTTCCTAGCTGTGATAATGCTTTTGTTAGTTCAGATTTCTTTGTTTTATTATTTTTTTTATTTTAGTAGTATTTGGAATTTTCTTTATTTTGTTTTTTAATATTAAGGTGAAGCCTTGTTCCTATCTTTATTTGTAGTTATTAAGTAGTAACTACATGGAGTTACTGAGTACAAAAAGAAGTTCTATATATGCTATAGCTAAAACTAATATTTGCAGTTAAAACTAACCATTAAACTACTAACTATAAAACTATAACTCTAAATAATATAAATGCTATATACAAGAGTAAGAGCTTAGACATATTTATCTACAGCTTAAACCTACTAGAATGGCTAAGGCTTACCTAGATTAGTTAGAATTTTCTAAATAATGTTTATTACTCTAGTATACACTAATAAGCTATTCATAAATTTTACTAACTATTTATACTATCAGAAGTTAATTACATCATTATAAAGAAAAGAAACCAAAGGTAAGATAAATTAAATAAGAAATAAAATATAATAAAAAAGTAAAAAGTAGTATCAATTGAATAAGCAAATAGATAAAGAAAGTTAACAGAATTATAAGATTATAGTGAGATAAGTAATATAAATTGAATATGTAAATAGATAAAGAAAGTTAACAGAAATATATAAATATTGCTAGAGAAAAAGGCTATAATCAAGTTCATCGATAATTTTAGATACATTGAAAGTATAGATAAAGTCAGTTTCTGATATTGTAGATATAACAATATTAAGTTTTTTGATAATATATTGGTTTGCTTGATTAAAGTTTAACTTGTTAAAATTTTTTTTAAGTTTATTAATAGTTGGTTTAGAGATTTGAGTGATGTCATAATAGGCAATAATTCTGATTAAAATTTGTAAATCACTTGTTTAAGAGAAGATTTTGTTCAATGCTTCTTTGAGATTGAGATCAATAATTTTATTGTTTGTTGCTGCAGATTTAAAATAAGCTTTAAGATAGTAGTAAAAGAAATAAAATATATATTTAGAATTAGTAGATGTATTATTTAGTTGAATAAAGGTTTGGTCAGATTGGTTGACTAGTTTTTAAAGTTCTTTAAAAGGTAAGAATGTATAGAAGATTGCTAAGATGAAAATAGAAAGATTTAAAGGTGAATATATATATTGTTGAATAAGTATAGTGTTAAAGGATTGTTTAAAATAATAAGAGATTAGATTGTAGATATTATGAGTTGGTTTTAAATTAAGAATTTTACATTTTTCCAGATTGGTGCAGATGTATATATGGTGTATTGCTGTTTTGGTAGCATAGTTTGTTCAGTCTTGAATGGATCAAATAGTTGGTAGTTCAGGTTTTTGAAGAATTAGCTTTTTGTATTTATTATTAGTTGCTGTTGTTATTTGGTATTTGATATAGTTGTAAACTTTTTGTTCATTGATATTACTAAATTGTTTTTTGTAATGTGTAAAAATTTTTGAAATCAGATATCAAATTGTGGTTTGATTAAGTAGAAAAATGAAATATAATAGTTTATATTAAATTCTTGAAAAAAGATATTTATAGTAATATTGATATAGAATTTAGAGGTATTATGAATTTTTAAAATAGGAGTATTGCTTTTCGAAGTGTTTAAAATATGGTTTATATATATAAAGGTTTTTAAGTAGATGTATTTAAGTTGTAAATCATAAAAGAATTTTTGATGATCAATAGTTTAGTATTTGTTATATAGGAATAAATAAAGTCTTGCAAGGTTTATAGCAATTTGAAATCATTTTTAATTAAGTAAGAAGAAATAAATAATAAAAATTAAAAAGTTGTTTGTAATTTGTTTTATGAAAAAAAGTATAAGTAAATTTGGTAAACCAGTTTTTTGTTGTACTAAAGAGAATTTTAAAAGGTATTTTGGTTGCTTTAGTAATATGTAGATTTTTGTTTAAGATTGTGTTTATAATAAATTTAGGTTTTTTAATTACTATAATTTGAATTAATAAGCTAAAATTACTTTTTATAGCTGGTTTGTTGATTGTTGTAAAATTAATAATTGAACCAGAATAGAAATCTTTAAGAATTGGTTTTAAGAAATCTAATGTTTGAATTTCAGATGTTATAAGTATAGATAAAGAAGAGTTTTCTGAGATAGGATAGCTTTTAAACTAGTTTAAAAGGTAATCTTGTTGAGTTGTAGTTTGTAAATTCATTTTGGAATTATAAGTGATAATAATAGAAAAAAGTTTAAAGTTGTAAATAGCTTGAAACAGAGATATAGAAAAGATTTTTTAAGTAGTTTATAGTATGAGTAAAGTGTTTTATAATATAGGTAGCAAAAAAGAACAGATAAAAAAAATAAGAATTAGGCAAAAAAATTAAGTTTTTTGAAATTGACAGTAAATTTTTCAAAGAGTCAATAAATTTTTAGGTTCCTTTAAGAGAATTTAAAGAAATATTAAATATATAGATATTTTTAAGATTGGTAAAAAGTGAAATTTCTAAGGTTATTTTAAATAATATTTAGTTGATATATTTGATATTTTATAGATTTTTGTATATATAAAATATTATATATTATTATATCTTCTTAAAGTTTTAATAATGATTTA